ATAGGAATTTAGAAGGAAAAAAACCTGAAACCTTCTGAGGTCAAGTACATTCTGCAAACAAACTTTTATCAGACAAAGTCAGACAGGTTTCTTTCCTGCAGGACTTGTCAGAGCCTTTAATACAGTAACGTGCATGTGACTCTTGTGCAGTGGGCAGAGAGTGGGGCTTGGGGGTTTTGGAGGACATCATAACCTTGACCAAAAAGGTCTATGCACAGGAACTGGTCTCTGCTGTGGACCATCTCTGGGGTCCAGTGTTCCCAGGAAGAAGAGCCCTTGAGGCCAGCAAGTGCCTGCCCAAGCCCCTCTGGGCCTCTCCAGAGCTGAGCACATAGTAGGTCCACAGCACTATGTGCGGGTGGAGGGACTGGGACTCCAGAGAGTGAACAGGCTTCTTCTCGGTCCCTTTTTGGCTGGTGCTGCTGTTGAGTTCTCCGGGGCAGGATTCCCTCTGAGCTAGCCAAGTGGACTAAAGGAACCAGGCGGAGCTGCCTGTGTCTGGGGTGTTGGGATGTCTTGGATTTGGGAATGTTTGCACATGTGCGTCTCATGAGCTCAGCCTGAGGTCATCTGTGCCGTCTCTAGTGCTCCCGCAATGTGGCTCGACCCCCAGCCTGAGCTCAGGCGAGGGACTTTCCACTGTGGCCTCGTTTCCACGCTCCAAATGATGGGTTTGGGAGCGTGTGGGGTTCCAGACGGGACTGGGGAGCTCAGCCCACACAGCTCACCATCAGCTAATGCTGATGGACAGGGCCTCTGCTGTGCGTTGGGATTCTGTTCCAGAGAATTCCAGGGGGACACAAGCAGCGCACGGTGCATATGAAAAGTGGCGGCTTGCGGAACAGCCCCCAAGGCTGGAAGGACTCGCTGCTCCTACCAGGACAGGAGTGCGCTTGGGAGCAAGCCGCCTCCCTTCCTGCTTGTAAATAAACGCAGACTGTATTTTGGAGCAATTTTAGATTCTTGGCAAAGTTGAGCCTCAGGTGCAGAGATGTCCCATGTCCCCAGCCCTGTCCCAGCTTCCCCTGCTGTCAACACCCACCATCGTGATGACGAGACTCGCCACTGCCGGAAGGCCCTCCGTGCTCCGCGAGGTGACGTTGTTGCCCTGTGCAGAGGAGAGCTGCGCCTGCTGCTGTAGAGATGCTGAGAGTGTAAGAACTGACAGAGAAGAGAACCACATCGCCTCCAGCCCCAGCTATGACACCGACCCCGTGTCCCACTGTCTGGCAACTCCTATTCTATCCCATGCTGGTGGCTTGGCCTCTGGAGGCAGATTCCTCCAGGTTCTACCCCCAGTGACATTTGAGGGCAGCCCCATCACTCTGGGCAAGGGGCTACACCTCTCCAAGTTTTGGTGTCCTTGCTGGTAACATGAAGGTGACAAGAGGTTCCAGTGAGACCCACTTGGCATACATTTGGGCACACATTTGGGCACCGTTCGTGTTAGGAACGTTGCCTGTGGCTTGAAGTAGAATTTGACAACGTGATGGTGCCTAACCTGAGAGTCTCCTGCCATCTGGCCACACAGAGAATTCCCGAGGGACGGCCGGTTCCTTCCCACCAACCCGCTGCAAGATGGACGCGTCCTTCGGGGGAGGTGCACCTGACAGTGGCCTCTAGCGCCAGGCTCTTCTGGAATAAGTGCTGCCCCGGGGAACTCATGGAAGGGGTGCTGAAAGCAGAAACTCACGCTGCGCGGGCTCCCATCCTGCAGCGAGGCCCAGAGACCCCGCGTGGAGCCAGCCTAGGCCGGGGAAAACCTTCTGCCCTCAACTTCCTGGACGGCTCAGTGCCCGGCCCTGGGAAGGCGGTGTGAGAGCCCATGGGGGAAGCAGCAGGGAAGGGCACCGGCCAGACAGCCAGGAACCGTGTTCTTTTCTTTCTGCAGAACTGGGGCGGAGCCCAGACCCCACCCCGCTAGTCAGGCTCCACCCCTGAGCCACGTCCCGGCCCTCAGAACACAATCTTGGCACGAGGGGACAGGGCCCAAGGTGCCGTCCCTGGTCCCCGCCTCCTCCCACAGCTCCCCCTCTGCTCCCAAGCCAACCAGTCACCGGGGCAACGGTGGAGATGGAGCACACACCCAGCAGGACACTCCGCCCGCCCCTGGCTGTCCCACCCCGTGCCCTGGAGAGGCTGCTTCCTCCCTCTGACCTCCTCTCAGCCCCAGGGGGCTTCCGTCATGCTCTTGTTGTTTCTAGAAGGTTCTCCCTTTCTGGCTGGCGGCACTTAATCCCCTTGCAGGTTCTAGTTTAAAACTGCTGTGATGTTTCAGAAGAAACCAGATCACAATAGACTCCGCCAACCAAGTGCCAGGGGCTGACCTTTCAGAAGGCGGCTGAGCAGGGGCCACCTCTGCCTTGGGAAACCGGTGGTTTGTCCTCACAGTGGGCAGACTTCCTGGGGTGTGTGCTGGGCCTGGTAAGGGTCCTCCACTTGTCAAGGAGCAGCCCCAATGGGACCAGTCTTCCCACTGAGACGCAGGAAGACGTCCCGCAGTCCAGGGGCAGAAACCCTCCACACCTTTCCCTGCCTTGGGTGCCCCTGAATGAGCTGATGTGCACGGCCTCTGAATCTGTCCCCAGGAGTGGTGGCTACTTCTTCCTCTTCGTAGCTCTCCTTCCGGAAGACGTGGATACATGCTCCCAGAGCTGGTCACTCATATTTGATGTTTCCCTCGTATTCTGATATGGGAGGATTTCTGAGATGGATTGTCAATATCTGGGGAAAGCAAATCGCAGACTGATGGGTTTAGGAGAATCCTGTTTTTATCAAAATTTGCAAGGAGAAATATTTAGAGTAGAATAAACTACTTTCTTATTTCCTTCAAAGCTGGATTCTATTCTGCCTGATGCTGTCTTCCTAGAAACCCGTCCTGCACCCTCAGACGGCATCAGGACCCCCTGCTCCCCCTTTATGTAGCGCTTGGGCACTGACACGGTTGAAAAGGACAGTGGACTGCAATAATTAGGAGACTCCTTTAGAGCAGTTTCAGGTTTGCAGAGACTTGTGGCCGGAAGTTGCCTTCAGTCCGTCTCCCCTGCAGTTTCCCTGTTAGCAACCTGTTACGGTTATGAAGGTCAGTGGTTAGTAACTTAGTAACAAGTCTGTAGACGCCCTAGGCTCCCTCCAGTTTCCACAGGGCCAGGGTTCTGGACCTACTGTCCAGTGTCACCAGGGTGGCCTACTTGTCCTTCTTCCTGGCCTCCACGCCCATTACTGATATTTAAGATCGTCTTTCAGCTGGACCTGAGGCTCCGCCAGAGCGGCCCCTCTGCCCTGTGGACTAGCAGACGCCTGCTCTCGGATCAGAGCCTGTTTCTTGTTTTTCCTTGGTACCAGGGATTGAACCCAGGGGTGTTTAACCACTGAGCCACATCCCAGCTCTTTTTATTTTTTGAGATAAGTTTTCACTAAGCTGCTCAGGGCCTCATTAAGTTGCTAAGGCTGGCTTTGAACCTGTGATTCCCCCCCCCTCGGCCTCCAGAGCCATTGGGATTACAGGCATGGCCACTGTGCCAAGCTAGAGCCTGCCTCTTAACAGGAACCCTGTGAATATTTCTCCTTCCATATTTTAATAAAAATGGGATTCTACTAAACACATCAGTCTTCAATCTGCTTTTTCCAAAAATTGACAGTATATCTTGGAAATCTTCCCGTATCAGAATATAAAGCTCTTTCTCTCTAACCTTGTACTGTGGAGACTCTCCAACACACAGATGAAAGAAGAGGGGATCCACCATGACGCGCCTGTCATTTCAGCTGTCCACGAGCGGTCCTTCTTGCTTCGTTAGTATCTCAGTCCATGTTTCCCCTTTTTGTATTTGAAAGCAAATCCCAGTCATCAGCTAATTTCACCTGCCATTATCTGTGGTACCTCTGTAACAGACAAGGACTCTGTCTGTGGCACATGACCATATCATCATCGTCACACCCGATGAACGTTAACAGCAGAAAATATAGTCAGCGTCCAAAGTTCCACGGATCCCGTGTGTGGTGGAGGGTACATAGCGTGGGAACCAAATCCAGGAGGCTCACACTGCCCGGGGTGATGGCCGCTGAGGGCCTCTAGATCGGGGTCCCCTCTCTGCCATCCATCCTCCCTTCCGGCCCTTCCTGCAGCCTGGATCGTGCGGCTGTGTCCCTGGTTTGTGTGGAAGCGGCTCCATCCTCTGAACTGTCTGGTCCCATTCAAGTCCACTCAGTCTCCTCAGTGGCTCTGGGCAGGGGCGTTTCTCCTACAGGAAACTCTCTCGGGTTGTCTCTGTCTGTGATGTTCGGGGCGTCACTTCTCAACGCCCGGAGCCCTTTATTCATTGGGGCTGCTGATCCTAACATGAAATGCTTCTATAAAAAGAAACTTCCCTCCACGTTCAGTGGCCCTGAGGTACAGTCTGTGTAGGACAGGCAGGATCAATGCTTGGTTCTTCCCTTTATTTACCAGTTTTCAGAATAATGAGTTGCCTATAAATATTTGAATGAATGAATGAATAATACATGTGTGGATGAACTGGCAGGTTTGGGAGCTGGGGTTCTCTGCTGCCCTCCAGGAAGTAGGTGTGGGCCACCGCTGGGTAGCACAGGAGCCGCCTTGGTGGGGTCCCTGTCCAAGTAAGGAGGGCCGGGAGCAGCGCTTGCTACCTGTCAGCCTTCAGTCAGGAGCGCAGGTGAGCTGAGTTCCTAGAAATACAGCGACTGGGACCAGGGATCAGCCCGTTCCGTCAGCGGCATCGGACCCTGGAAACCACACGCTGGGAGAAAGGACGGACTGCAGGTCCAGGCTCCAGCTGGGAGAGGTCTCAAAGTGCCGCAGACCCTCCCCAGGACGGGGAGTTGGGAGTTTCTGTCCCAGAGGAGGAGATGGGTGCAGGCTGGGCTGGTGGCCTTGCAGGGTGCCTTCTAGGCCAGCCCGGCACCACCCAGCCTGCTCCTGGGGGGCGCTCCGTCCGGCCTGCCCTCCGCTTGCTGACCTCTCTGCCCTCTCTGGGTCTCCCCAGGTGCAAGTGCAACCTGCACGCCAACCTGTGCTCGGTGCGCGAGGGCAGCCTGCAGTGCGAGTGTGAGCACAACACCACGGGCCCCGACTGCGGCAGGTGCAAGAAGAACTTCCGCACCCGGGCCTGGCGCGCCGGCTCCTACCTGCCGCTGCCCCACGGCTCTCCCAACGCCTGTACGTACGCCCCGGCCCCCGGCAGCCTGGCTGCAGCCCACAGATGTGCACCTGGCACACATGTGGACACACATGTGCCCTTGGGCTTACAAGCACACACACACTAACAGATGTACGCAGGCCTGGGTGTGTGCATGTGTGCACGCACACACGCGCGCGCGCGCACACACACACACATTTTGTTGGGAGCCTGTGAGGAGACCCTCTGGCACGCGGGCCCACTGCCCCAGGGGAACCCGGGATGAGCTGGCCAGCCCCCTTCCTGTTGCCCTTCCCCCCTTGACTGAGAAGCAGGCAGGAGGCCCCTGGAAGCAGGGGGTGGAGACCCCCCTCCAGGCAAGCAGGACCCACGCGGAATGTCACGGGATGCTTGTCGCGTGTCTCATGGTGTCGCATGCTGCAGGGGCCCCTCCCTGGGCGTTTCCAGCCCAGCCCCTGGATGTGGGGCTCTTGTTCTCCTGTTTTCTGAGGCACCCCCTGAGGTCCTCGGTGAGCCCCAGGGCCTGCCCAGTCCTACCCTCCCCCGCTCCCCAGTGCCAGGAAGGCCTTGCAGGGGTTTGCCCACAAGGGTCAGCATCGCAGACCCCTTCAGGGGTCCCCCACTCACCACATGCCCCCAGTGTAGGCCACAGGTGCCTCCAGGAAATCAGGGACCCCAGGGAGTTGCTGGGCTGCGAGTGGAGAAGGGCCTGGCTGGCTCGGGGAGCGCCCCTGGGACCCTGGAGCGCCTCTGGTTCTTCCCGTGTCCAACACCTGTCAGGGCTTTGTCCTTTGTCCCCATCGGAGGCTACAGCGGGCCCGCTGCATGCCCCCCGGCCTCCCCCCAACATTGACGAACTGCCACTTCCACCACCCAGCCACCTCGGGGCCTCCCCGCACAACAGCAAGAGTCACGGCCAGGGTGGGGTCCAGACCTCCCGGACCACGCCAAGGGCAGGCAGCAGCCTCCTGCCCCAGGACCGCCCCGCCCTGCTGGGCACCCGCCCTGACGGGGAAAGATTCATGTGGCTTTAGGCGGATCAAAGCTGAAGCTCGGCAAGGCCGTGACAGGCATGTCACACAAGGGGCCTGGGCCGGCGTGACAGGACTTTGAACGGGCGATGCTCCAGCACCTCACAGCACTGGAGGGTCTTCAAAGGCACAGAGACTGACTGCTCTGGTGCGGCCCACCCCCTGCCTGGTCCCTCCTCCCAGGTCCCCTCCCCATCTCTTTTGTCCTGAACCTTTTCTTTCAATGTGTCACCCTCTCCCCTGGCAGTCCTGCCTCCGCTTTGTCCCAAGGCCTGTCCCGCCCGCCTCCCCCCCCTGCCCGCACTCCCAGCTCCTCTCCCCCATTCCAGGAAGGATTCTGCAGGGCCTCCTGTCTGCCCGCGTCCACTGCCAGGTCTCTGGCCTGCTGGACAGACAGACCTCAGCCCTGGCCTTGGCCTGGTTCCGCTCCTCTCCACAGCGGGTGGATGGGACAGCTCCCATTTTGGGGAGACAGCCCTGGAGCCAGCCCCCCACTGCCTCCCCAGGCGTCACCAGGAAGGAGGGGTCCTCCTGGACCTCTGGGAGGAGGGGTGCTGTGTCACTGGGTCCCCTGCCTCTGGGGCAACAGGGAGAGGACAGAGGAGGAGATGCAGCTGGTCTCAGCCCCAGGTCAACCCTTCCTCCCCTCTCCATGACCCCATCCCAGCAAGTAGCATAGTCCCCAGGGGAGCTGCCAGGGCGGGGGTCACCTGATTGGAGCCCCCACCCACACCTGCCCAGGCTCCCTCCCTTCCCAGAGCCTGTGCCCCCCAACCTGCCTCAGCCCTGCTGAGGAACCCCACGGCCCTCCACCCCCACTTCCCCTCAGGCCGTCCTTTCTGGGGGCCACCTGCTTCAGAGCCCTGGGAACCCTCCGAACGCACCCCTACTCATCGGACCTTCTGGGAGAACCCCACTATCCCCTACCCCTGAGCCCCAACTCCCCACATCCCTTTCCTGACGTCTCTTGTGACTGTCCTGCAGCCTGGAGCCTCCTCTGCCCTGACCACTGCTCCCTCACCCTCTAGGCCCCAGTGGGGGGCCACCTTGTCCATCTGAGCTCCCTGCGGTCAGCTCTGCCTGGCCCTCCACACCCCGCCCACATGGGTGGTAAAGGGAGTCGGGTGTGGGTGCTCATCCTCCGCCTCCCCGGACTGTGGGGGCCACAGCCATGTGCCCTAGGGCCACCACACGCCTTTCTCAGGAACACCTGCCCGCTGTTTGTGGCTGTGCCTCTGTCCCCAGCTCTGGGGGAGGCCTCCCTCCGGTCAGACACCCCAGGCCTCCTTCCCTCCTGAGGCACAGGAAGCCCGGTTCAGGGTGCGCCTGGCCTCGCCCCGTGGCCTCCTCCCCACGCCCCCTCCTCCCCTGCAGGGCAGGACATCAGGACCCCATGTGGGGCTGCCGTTCCAGGGATGCTCACGCTGCCCAGCGGAGACCCCTCAACACAGGGCAGCCAGGCACTCCCGGCGGGCTGTTGGGCCACCTCCGTGTCCCTGCCTGCACTGTGGGGCCCCAAATCTGAAATCGAATACAAAGGGGGTGCCTGGCACTCACGGACACGTGGGGGCTCACAGTTCCCAGACTTGGTTTCTCCATCTGCAAAGTGGGCCCCTCCTCTCTGGTGGCAGTGGGAATAAATGGGCTCGTCCTCCGCCGAGGTTCCCCGGGCCCAGGGGCCGCTCCTCCTGCCGCAGTGCAGTGGGGCAGAGCTTGGGACTTCGGAGGGAGGGACACCTCCGAGGGCTCACCCTGCCCTGCCACTCACTCCTCTGCAGGGAGGAGACAGCTGTCCCCTTCTGCCCCCACAGCCAGCTCTGTGACCCTTTGTCTCCCCGCAGGTGCCGCTGCGGGCTCCGCCTTTGGCAGTAAGTAGACTACATAAGCCTCCTTGTATGTCCCGAAAGAGCAGCAGAGAAGGGAGGGGCTGGACGTCCCTCTGGCCTCGCGCTCCCTCTGCTCATCACCCTCATTTGCTTCCTCGCCTCTCTCCGGCACCTTCGTTTCTCCCCAGGAGCTTCATTAGTGCTGCTTTGGAAGCCTCAGGGCCTTTGCACAGGTCCCCTAGACCCCTGGGCCCACTCCCTGCTCCCCTCGCCACTCGTTCCTTGGCTTCTTCTCTCTCCCCAAATCTGGAAGGAGTCTCTCCTGCTAGGCAAGGAAAGGGGGGCCTTCTTCTCCTGCCAGTGACAGATCCTGCCCCCCACCTTCCAGCTCAGCTCAACTCCCAGGGCAGGTCAGACTGGTGGGTCACCTGCAGGAAGGGAGTCCTGGGAGTCATGAGGAGGCTGAGGGTGCTGGCGGGGGTTCCCACCGGCTGTTACTACCATCTGGACAGGTCGCCAGGCCCCAGGGCTCCAGGCACCCGGCTACTAGGACTGGGTACTAGCTCACTTACGCCCTCCTGGCAGCGTCCCCCCCCCCGGGGGGCGCAGGGCTTGCCATCTGCTCTGGCAGCCAGCAGGAAGGGGCTGGCCCCTGTCAAACAGGCGGCTGGTGGCAAGCCCCAAATCTCGGAAGTGCTTCTAAGACATTTGACACCCTCTACCACAGCTCCGTGGGCCATACCCCATCCAGCTGCCCTCCCCAACCTGGCTGCCCCCCACGGGGACTCCAGTGGGCAGGGAGGGCCCCACAGGGGACGCGGGTGTGCACAGCCGGCATCGGCCCAGTCTTCTTGGTGGTGCCCGGCTCCCCCGACCCTCACCTCCTCTTGCTTTCCCATCTCTCACCAGGCGCCGGCAGGTCCCGGGAAGACCCTGCCCCCCAGCCCCCCGTGGCCACCGTGGCCATAAGCGGGGAGCCCATCGCTTCCACCCCCTCCACATCTGCTGCCCAGGCCCCCAGAGTCCCCAGTACCCCACTGCCCACAGGTGGGTGCCTGTGATCCCAGTGTCCCCTACCCACTGCTCCTGCTCCTGGCCCTGGGCAGGGCCCGCCTCCTAGAGTAGGAAGCACTCGTGCCCTGGCGTGCGAGAGTGTGGCCCAAGGGGACCTCCAGGCCGCTGAGCCAGCCTGTCATCAGGCACCAGGCATCACTTCCCGCTCCCAAAGTCCTCCTCCCCTGGCCTCTGAGGCACTCCTGGGAGGGTCCTGATCCCAGTGTGGCCAAGGGGCCAGGGGGGCCAGTGGTCGAAGGGACACCCTGACACTCAAACTAAGATGGGACCATGGTGTTTCAGAGGAGCCTCCCGGGCAGAGCTGGGGTGAAGAAGTCGGGGCTTCCTACATAAGTGACCCGGCCTCCTGACTGCGGTTGTGCTACAGTGAAGGGCAGACAGGAGCAAAATGGCCAGGAAGGGGAGGGGGTCTGCCCCGTTCCCACGGGGGGCCAGGCCACCCTCCCCACCACTTGGGCACTCTGAGCAACCTTGAATCCTCTTCCAAAGCTGCTTCTGATTTGGCGTGAGGGGTGCAGGGCAGACCCTGAGGTTGAGCATGAAAGGAGACAGGGGTCAGAGTGGTGACCCCAGAGGGTTGCATGATGAGGGTCCCTAGGACCCTGGCTGGGAGCAGGAGACACCCTCCCTCCAGACTCAAGAACAAACATCTGGGTGGGCAGGCTGTGGGCCCTGCCTCCTGCGCCCCGTGCCAGGCAGCGAGTGTTAAGGGAAGCGGTGGCTCAGGGTGACAGCCAGTGGGCTGAGCCCTCAGTGTCTAGGGTCCTCACCTCCCCTAGAGCCTTAACCTGGAGCCCCCAGGGCGCCCGAAGGCCCGTGGGTAGGGTGATGTTCCAGCTGGTGAGAGTGGGCATCGCCCAGCCCAGAGCTGCGCTCTGCTGTGCTGTGCCCCTTGCTCTGCGGGGAGGTGACGGAGGCTGTCATTTTCCTAGTCCCGCTGGGAGTGGGATTGAGGCTTAGGAAGCAGCGGCGGGGTTTATGGTGGTGAACTAGACCTCCATAAAGCTGTTCTAAAAAAAGAAAAGGAAGGGAAGGAAGAGCAGCTGCCCAAGGCCTCAGGATTATGAAGATGCTGGACGGGAGCTCAGGGCTCCCCGACTTCAGCTGCCCCTGCCCCCTCTGCCACCCATGCCCGGGCCTGGGCGCCGTGAGGTGGCACCACCTCTATGGCCTGGCTTCCTGGCCCCCTAGCTCTGGATGGGCCTCAGGAACGTCTCGGGAACGTTCTTCTCACACTCCTGAGCGTGTCCTGGACAGCCCAGCGGGAGGCTTCCCCTCCCCAGACCCTGGCCCCCAGATAGCCCCAGGCCTCTCCAGCCCTTCCAACAGGCTCTTTAGCCTCTGGTCAGACTCCCTGGCCTCGAGGTTTCTCCCTCAGCTGAGGGGGGGGCGCTAGTCCCTCCCCGCTAGGCCCTGGAGGGGGTTAGGGTTAGGGTGCCTGAGGGCTGCGGCTCTAATTAAGCCCTTGCCAATTTGAGTCCCCTGGCATGGTTTCCTCTCTGAAGGCCACACTAATGTCAACTTGACGTCCAAGGCCCTCGCTGCAGCTGGGAAGGGTGCTGCCCACGTTAGCTGCAGATTCTGTCTCTTCTCCTCCGTCCTCATTGTGGGTGCCCCCTTCAGGAAGCGGGAAGCCTCAGCCCCCCCCGCCCCCCCCCCCGGCCCTCTGGGTTTGTCCTTCGGATGCCCTCAGAGCAGCTCGTCCCCAGCCCAGCCCACGCTGCCCGCTGTGCCTAGTTGGTCTCAGAGATGAGCACTGTGGTGTGTGGCAGGCGACCCATGTCGGGTCCCCAGAGAAAATGAGGGAGGTGGGAGGGCTGTGACCCAGGAGGTGGGTCAGATGGCAGAGGACACTCCGGTCCCTGGCTGGGGGTTGGAAAAGAGGTGTCAGGGAGCCTCTGGACACATTGGGTACCCTGCCAGGACACGCATCCTCCTTTGCAGCCATTAGCCAGAAACTCGGCAGAGAGTCTGGGCCAGGCGCAGGACCTGGTCCAACACTGCCCTTTGGTCAGAATGGGAACCACACAGGGAGGGTCGAAGAGTCCCCAGGTTCAAGTTTTCCACAGAAGGAAGGACTGCCCAGGGCTCGCAGATTCTCAGGCATGGGGGCCCCCTGGTGTCTAGCAGTGTGTGCGTGTGCATGTGTGTGTGCGTGTGTGTGTGTGTGTGCACATGACTGTGCGTGTGTGTGTGCATGGGCGCGCACCTCCCAGGGCTGCAGTAGTGTAGATGCTGCCTCTGTAGTGGATTTGGACCCAGGTCTTCTGGCCAGTGTAGACAGAGCCTTTCCTCCATAGTGCTGCTTCTTATGAGGGGCCTGTGGGTGTGTGGTGGTGTCACCTCCTCGCATAACTCGACTTCTTCTCTTCTTCCCCGCAAGAGTGGACCAGGCCATCTACAGCTGCCCCTCTTGGGGAGAGCTCCCCCCAGCCCCAGGTTTCCTCCAGTGCAGAAGGTATGGGGGGCAGGGCCTGCGACAGGCCTTAGGACCCCAGAAGCCCCTCCTTAGCTCCTTGGGCCCCTCTGTCCCTCGTAGAGGTAGTAGGTGCACATGTTGGGGACCGGGGTGGGACGGAGATCCCAGGCACTGAGGGAGGGGTGTAGAGAGACAAGCATCTGGGAGCTCAGGCCAGAGCAGCGAGGGGAGGCCCGAGCTCTGCAGCCAGCCTCAGCTGCGTGGAGGGCATGACACCACAGTCCCCCAGGTGTCAGAGTCAGGTGGCCACACTGCCCTCATTACAGGAATCCTCTCACTGGCCGCCCGGTTCACAGGACCCTCATCACAGGCATTGACGGAGCCCAGAGAGGGGACAGGTAGACCTACAGGGTGCTGGCGAGCGGGTGAGGGAGAAGGGAGCGCGCACCTGGGAGGGCGGCTGGGCGGTGGCTCAGCCAGGCAGCGGCAGGAAGCTGGTCAGCTTGCTGGTCAGACTAGGCCGGGGAGGGATAGCAGAAGGCCGTGAGGACAAGCCAAGAGTGTCTCTCTGCACTGGAGTGGGGGACACAGGCCTCATGGGGAGTCAGGGGGGGACATGTGTAGGAAACAGGCCCATCTAGCTCCACAAGGGGAGCTGGCCCCTCACCTGTTTTCAGCCCTGTGCCATCTCTGAGCGGCGAGCAGGGCTTTGAGTGCCCTCTGCTGGCAAGGGGCTCCCCAGCTGGGCCCACAGTTATGGAGTTCAGCTCCTAGCAACCTGGAGGCCTCCCCGTGGTGACAGAGACAGGTAGAGCCAGCTGAAGCCATCATTTCCCTTCCTTGGACCCAGTAAGTCTCCACAGACTCCCAGAGGGGACAGTGGCATGCTCACCCCTAACAGGGGCTGGGGCCTCCCTGGGATCCCAGAAGATGGAGACAGGTACGTCCACATTCTTGGCTTGCAACGCTTGGAAGTGGGAATCCAGGGACAGTAACAGACACCTTAGTGGTGCAGGGAGGCTCTTCAGAAAGGACAGGAGATGCCCAGGTCGCTAGTGCTGGGTTCAGATGGTGGGTCAGATGCCCACAGAGTTTGGGGGCTGAGGCGGAGGGTGGCATGCCAGGAGTCTTAGAGAGATTCTCATCCTGTCAGAAACCCTCCAACAGGGAGTGTCTCGCTCGGCACTCTGGGGGATGTCGGAGGCAGAGAGGTCACTTGGGGGGATTGATCCAGATGGGTAGTAGATGGTCTCAGAGACGGAATCCGGCCGGCCCTGGGAGCTCACCTGCAGCAAGGTGCTTCGACTCCCAGTCTCTGAGAGGGGCCTGACTCCCCCCCTGAGGGCATGTGTTCTGACACCAGGGTGGCCTCCCCCTACCTCCAAGTGAGCAGGTGACAAGGCTGGCCCAGAGCTGGCCCAGGGCATCTCAGGAGACTTTGTCCATCTTCTCACTGGGCTTGGGCTGCCCACCCCGGGGCAGCTGGACAGTGGCAGGTGAAAGAGCTTGTTTCTCATCTCTCCAAGCTGCGGGCACTTCCGCTGCTGTCCCCACCCCTGCTAAGAGCTCCAAACTATTCCAGCTCAAGCCCAAATCTCCTCAAGTGATGCCTATTGAAGAATTCCAAGGTAAGAGAAGGCCTGGGGCTGGACCAGCCCTCCCCCCACATCTCTTCCCCACCTCCACTGGAAAAAAAGGGTGCAGGACAGGACCACTGGCGTCCTGCTCAGAAAACCCTCCTAGAGTAGCTGGGTCAAGGTTAAACTGCGCCTCTCTGCCCTCCGGCCCTCCGGCCCCACGGGAGCTGGAGACAAGTATGAGTCAGAAGCCAACTGGGCACAGTGGGCAGGCCCACGGCAGCAGAGTTGCTGCCAGAAATAGCCTGTCCTGACTCCCTTGGGAGCTGTGGCCCAGGGGCTCGCTTGGTTGAAGAAGAATCTGGGCCACTCTGGTCACTGGCGCTGCTCTTCAGGACACTTGGAAGATGCCCTTCCTCCTTCTGAAGTGATGAGGTGAAGGGGTGGTCCAGGAGGCCCATGGGTGGAGAGGCCCCCATCTCTCATAGGCTGCTTCTCCAGCGTCTCTCACACCCTGTGGAGTCCACCTGGGACCCTTGCCCCAGGTGGCCACGATTTTGGCAAAGCCACTGGGCAGGAGTCAGCCTAAGAACCACATGAAGGGGCTGGCGGCGGCCCCGTGATGGCACTGGGGTGGCTCTTCTCCAGGATCAGCGAGCATCAGAAGCCCTCTGGGACCAGGAGGGATCAGGGAGATGCCTAGGGCCCTGCAAAACCTGCCCTCTGATGCCAATCAAAACCATGAAAAGCTCAGACTAATCACAAAGGGTCGGTCCTGTAGGGACAGGGACAGGTGGTTTTCTCCCAACCCTCTTCCAAAGCAGCACGGGAAAGAAGCTCCTGGCTCATTCCCTCTCGTCCAGCATCTGTGCATGCATTCAGCCATCCGCGGAGCCCTGGCCACGTGATGGCCAGCCAGGAACTCGGGCACTGCCTCCCCTGAGCTCACAGCCTGGCAGCACCACCCTGTCCTCCATGCATGAATCAGTTTCTAGTCACCCTGGTGTGCGGGCACCCTTCGAGAGCACTTTGCCCTGGCAGCTGGCCAGGTGGTAGCAGGTGCTGCCCATGCCCTTCCTGGTCCCTGACCACAGGACTGCATGGGTCCTGCTGGCTTTGAGCTAGAAGGCCTGGCTCTTTCCAAATGCCACACCAGTGTCTGAGGCCTGGGGCACCTTCTGGGTCCTCTTCCAAAGATGCCTCCCTCCCTCCCCTCATGTCCTGGGGTGGGTCCTTCCTGCCCCATGCCTCAGTTTCCTCAGATGCTCACTGACCGTGGGTGTCTCTCCCGCTTGGCCGGCCCAGACTGTGAGTGCTACGGCCATTCCAACCGCTGCAGCTACATCGACTTCCTGAACGTGGTGACCTGTGTCAGCTGCAAGCACAACACCAGGGGCCAGCACTGCCAGCACTGCCGCCTGGGCTACTACCGCAACGGCTCGGCTGAGCTGGACGACGAGAACGTCTGCATCGGTAAGGTGCAGGCCGCAGGCAGCCAGGGCAGGGCTGGGCGGAGGCCCTGGGTGAAACCACCTGGGTGGTGCAGAAATCCCAACCCAGGGCCCCCTCCAGTAGGTGCCTCTAGGGACAGATGCCTGCAGAGCTGCTCTGCTAGCGACCACCCGTAGCTTCTTCCCTGGAGATGTAGAGCCTCTAGCTAGAGGCAAAGGCTGGGTTCTAGAGCTGGCCTTGCTGTGTGCTTTTGGGCCAGTCCTTTGCCCTCTCTGACTCCACACTGTAAGATCGGGAGGTGATCAGGTTAAAGGCTTTCAACCTCTTCTATTGCTGAAGCGTCTCCTTCAAATGCTTCATAAGCAGAGGCCCAGCTCACACCAGCTGCCCTGTGGGCCCTGCTTGGCTTTCTCAACACTCTACTCCAAGATGGGTTTGGGGTAGAGGAAAAGAAAATGCACGGAGGCCTTGGGCCCACACAGGGGACAGACCATCCCAGAGAGCCAAACCCATAACACCCAACCAACACACCCTGTAAGCCTAGGGAGGGGAGCCCGGGCTGCCCGCCACCTGTGTGCAGCAGAGACCAGGTCTCAGCTTCAGAGGCTGTCCCCACTGCCAGCCAGCCAGGGGGCCCCACTGCGCACCCCCGCAGGCTGCCCTGGCTGTGCAGAGGAGGGGCTGCTGTGAGGCTGGAGCTGTGGCCTGAACCAAGGCAGCAGCCTTCAGGTAATTCCATCTCCTCTGAGTGATGTAAACGGAATCCTGCTGCCAGTGCTACATCGGGCCAGTCAGATTAGAGGTGCCCCCTTCTCTCCCTGTCTCTATCTCCAATCCCGGTAAGAGCACTGGCTTCCACGACTGGGAGATGGAGGGATTCGACCCCTCCACCATCCTGCTGGGCAGAAGGAGGGCAGCCCTGTGGAGGGGTCACCCCTCATACCCACACTCCACAGCCTCCTAGACAGATGCTTGGTGGCCTGCCACCTGTCAGACTCATAGCTCTTCAGGGCTGAAAAGAATGAGTACCCCTCCAGTTGTCCAGAGAGGGGAAGGGACTAGCCCGAGCCACACAGCGCCAGGGCCAGGCGAGGAAGATGGAGTCTTCCCTTGAGATCTAGACTTTCCAGGCAGTCTCCACCTGCTGTCCAGACGCGGGCTCCAGCAGACAGGGAGACCCGGCTGGGAGAGGTGCGAAGCCCGGTGGGATGCGGTCCCCGCGGATGGCACCCACGGTCACCCTGACGGCGCGCCCATGCACATGTCCTCCCAGAATGTAACTGCAACCAGATCGGCTCCGTGCACGACCGGTGCAACGAGACGGGCTTCTGCGAGTGCCGCGAGGGCGCGGTGGGGCCCAAGTGCGACGACTGCCTCCCCACGCACTACTGGCGCCAGGGCTGCTACCGTGAGTGCGGAGTGCGCGCCCGCCCGGATGGGCGGGGCGGGGTGGGAGGGACCCCCCTGTGGGCGGGGCCTAATGTGTTAGTGGGCAGGGTCCTTCCCCGGTGGAAACCTCTAGGGAGACCGAGCTGGGGTGGAGAGCCCAGGGGTGAGTGGGCGTTAGCCGAGGGTGGAAGAGCGTGGCAGGGCTCTGGAGGCGAGGCGGCAGGTGCGCCTGAAGAACTGCGCCGAGGCCCGAGCCGGAGCGGAGCAGGGGGAGCGGCAGCCAGAGGCAGACGGGGCCAGGTCTTGCCGGGCGTCGTTACCAACCAAGCAGGGGCGTTTTGCACCAAGTACGCCCTGAGCCTCACGTGCCCTGGTCCAGGCCGTGCCCCAAGGGTTCCCCTATGCCCGTCACAGAAGCTCCAACATGGGGGGTGGACCAGCCACCAGCCGCGTCAACTGCCCCCTCCGCCCCGCAGCCAACGTGTGCGACGACGACCAGCTGCTCTGCCAGAACGGCGGCACCTGCCTGCAGAACCAGCGCTGCGCCTGCCCGCGCGGCTACACTGGTGTGCGCTGCGAGCAGCCGCGCTGCGACCTCGCTGACGACGACGGCGGCCTGGACTGCGACCAAGCGCCCGGGGCCGCCCCGCGTCCCGCCACCCTGCTCGGCTGCCTGCTGCTGCTAGGGCTGGCCGCCCGCCTGGGCTGCTGAGCTCTGCCCGGGGACCCGCGGCCGGGGAGGGTGGACCGCGCGCTCTGCGCCATGCGCCCCGCGCTTCGCGTCCGGGGATCCTAGGCGTCCAAGGCCGGGCGGCGACAAGGGTGCGGCCGAGCTGCTCCCAGGTGCTACTCAGCAGAGTCCTCCCGCCCTCCCGCTCCCGCCTCGCGGCACCGCGCCGCCCGGCACTGCCCTCCCTTCGCAGCTGGGGCGCTGTGGGGTCCTGCCCCTGCAGCCTGCGATTTGGGTTTTATTTTTTCTTTTATATTACCTGCCGCCTCTTTATTTTATTTTTCTTAATTTCTCTTTCTTTTCACTTTTCTTTTCCTTTGCTGTCCGTGAGACAGGGGGCCGGGAGAAACGCTGCTCGCCCCAACACCCCCAGATCCCGCCCCGACCTCACATACACGCAGGACTGTTGCACACACCCCTGCGCCCGCCCTGGCTTACACCAGCCAGCGGCCCCGGAACTCCAGTTGCCTACCACTCTAGTCGCTGACTCGATTCTCTTTTATATTCTTTATTTTCCTTTGCAACCCACCAGACCCCGAGCCCCACAGCGGCCTGGTGACCAAGGAACTCACCATCTGGGGTTGGGGGTAGAAAGAAGGGTTGGGAGGGGTGGAAACTTGGTTTTGTAGAGAACTATTTTTGTTTGTATTAACTGTCCCCTGTAAGGAGGGACTGGGTGGAAGCTGGTCACCGTGGGTGGCTGATGGTGTATAACCGAACAGAGTAAAGAGTGCTCACTGCTGCCTCCCAGGCCTTTCTTTCTGTGTTGATGGATACCCCAGTAAGTTTGGGGCTTATGGAGGAACCCACAAAATAGCCTTTAAGAAATGATCTCCCTATCAGGGCCACCACTTCCCAGATGGTCCCGTGAGGTTGACAGGCAGCCCTCTCGGCAGGCTCCCCAGGCAGGGCGATTTCCCCTGGCCAGGCTGCTAAAGACTACATGTTAGGAGCTTCCCCAGACTGAGAGGTTGTCCCCCATCCACACACACCCCACCCCACCTCCCACCCTGGCCAAACGAGAGCATCTTGGCATTTTGCTACAGGAGCCAGAGGAAGTGGCCCACAGTGAATTCTCGAAGGCCGAATCTAATGCTCTGATCTGTAATCTGTCTCTACAGCTGTCCAGCATGGGCGTGGCATCTCAGCCCTGTTGGACCCCAGGCCTCAGGTCCAATATCAAGTCACAGCCCCCCACCCCCACACAAACCACACTGCTACCTTGGCCATGGCCTGCCTGGCCAGAGCCCTTTTGCTGGTCAGAGAAACCAGAGATTCGCCCTGCAGAGATACACCTCAGGCCATCCACTTCTTCCCCTTACCTTCAGAGGACCAGGGAGGGTGGCAGAGGGGAGAGGGAAGTGAGTCTTGAGAGGAAGCCGCCTAGAATTCAGGGTTTAACTCAGGTACTTTGCTATCTGAGGACCCAAAGGTCTCTGCAGCCACTCAGCACTCCAGCTTTGGGGGGTCACCATCCCCACTGCCTGCCCTCGCTTCTCAAGGCTTCTCCTACTACCTGTTTACTTCTGAGTAGCACCATGGCCCCATCTGGGTTCCTAATTGCTCTCACTATTCCTGCTGGTCACCCCTTATTCTGGCTTCTGCTAGCTGCGTCTGCTCTTTCCAGGCTGGGAAACAGACCTGGATCCTTTGCTCAGGTTCCTGGAGTGAAACTAAGACTGAGCTGAAAGAACTTGGCCTTGGGAATAATAAGAGATTACACCTGGAAAAGGCAGAGCATCTAGGATGGGTATTAAATATGACTTGAGGCCCAATGCTGCCCTCTGCTGGCCGCTCTCCACTGCATTCACATCACCAGGCTGCCTGTCAGCTCCCAGCCCCAAGGAAGTGCCTTCTGTCAGTTCCCCTGCAGGTCTCCAGGCTCCAACTCATCTTCAGAGAACCCCACTTAGAGGGACCAAAGTGCCCAGGTAAAAATAAAACACATATGTGGGGCTACTTGTGGGCCAGAGTGGTCATGCAACACAATTCTGGCCAACAAAGTATAAACAGGAGTGATGGATGGTGCTTCCAGAAAGTTCCTAAAAGTCCTCCCCTCTTCCCCACTCCCACAAAGCCTCAGTTGGACCCATGTTGGGCCCTGGTTCTCTCTTCTCTCCCTCCCTGGCTCTGTTCAGGCTGGGGGTGGGGTGGGCGGAGGCAGGAGCCCTCTGGCAACATTGATATGAGCACATCTCCCTCTGGATGGTGGAGCCCAGAACTTGCCTCTGAAGATCTAGCAGAGCCGAAGACATCAACTGTGCTGCTGCCCCATTCTTCAGATTGTGTGAGAAAAAATAAAAAATAAACCTTGATGTGATGCAAACTTTGGAAATGAGGTTTTCTGTCCTGTGCAGATTCACCAATTCCTAAATCTCAGGCCCTCCCTGCTTGACATCCAGGCCCCTGAGTCTCCAGGCCAGAGACTAAAACCCACCCCTGCTGCAAGGCCCTGCCCCTCAAGTCCAAACACAGGCGACAGCTGTCTAGAACAGGGCCTGCTGCTGCTTTCAAGGAGAAGGGGGCAGCTGGCCCAAATCATCTTCCTTCTAGTTGCCAGGAAATTAGATATGGAAGAAGGGGACATCAGTTAGAGCCACACAGCAGGGGCAATCCCACCAGAGCAGAGCGCCGAGGAGGCCGTGGCGCAGGACCTGTAGAGGGCGCTATTCTCAGAAAGTCGTGAGGGAGGGGAGCTAGGAGAGGGCCGGGGAAGGAGTGGTCAGCGTCCCTGGAGCCAGGCTTTGTTCCAGTAAAGGGGCAGTGTGTGCACGCTAAATTAGAGTGGCAGCCCCAGACCCAGGGGACCCAGCTGGCCCTGACCTCTGGGCCTGACGCACAAGGACAGCGGGTGGGGTCTGGGGGTCTGGAGAATGAATGCCACTGCAGCAAGGCGGTGGTCTTAAGGCAGGGGGTACTTCCCGTCTGTTAGGCTAATGGGGGGGGGGCAACAGCTCCTTCCGCAAAGCTCCTGGGGTCCAGCAGGAGAGGGCCCCCATGGGCACCTACCCACCCTCCCTGACCTCCCACCACTGGGATCTGCTGTGTCAGCATCCTTGGGACCAGTCTTTGCTCCCGGGGGACGCGGCTCGAAGGTCGGGCCCTGACCTTGGCCGGAAGGTGGAAGGAAAGCTGCCAGTGGCCATTTGGAAAACTCTGACATCCTCCAGACTGCGGGGAGAAGGAGAGGACAAGGTCATTGGAACCAGAGTCGGAGCCCCGCCCCTTTCCTAAGGCGCTCCCTCCTCCCCCAGCTCCCGTTTTGACGCCTGGTTCTGAGCGGTACCTGAGCAGAACCGAAGCTCCCACTTCACAGCTGGGGTAGTGCGTGCCTCTTGTCCTAACCCTGCCCTCACCGAGGCACCATCGTCGTTCAGGACTGGACCATGCCGACGGCGGGTGGGTGGGGCCTGCCCTGTACACCGGGGATGTTTAACAGCACCTCTGACTTCAGCGCGGCTACTAGATGCCAGTAGCACCCCTTCCTCCCTTCTGGCAGCCAGCGGTGTCTCCAGAGCTGGGTGCAAAATCGCCCCAAGCTGAGACTCACGACTTTAGGAGGAAAGGCTGCTGTGCCCATTTTACAGAGAGGTAAGTAAAGGCTAAGAGAGGGGCAGTAACTGGCCTGAAGTTGCTAAGGAGCAGGGGCAGGGCTGCACTCAGGGCTGCCTGAGCTGGTAACCCCCAGGCAGGCATCCACCCTTGCCCTGCTCTGCCCTGCCCTGCCCTCGCTGCCCTCCTTCCTCTTCCTCACCTGCAGCCAGGGCAGGCTAAGCCAGGAGCCCTATCCTGGCTTCCTCAGGAAGCTCTGCTGGGAGGGGCGACTCCCCTACCACCCCCTAAACTCCATACCTGCCTTCCTCACAGCCAGGAGGTAGTGTGGGTGCCTGGGAAGCAGGCCGCTGGTGTCTCAGGGCAGGCCTGGGTGGCTGGGGCTCAAGGGGGTTCCCCTGCCCTCGCTGCCCTCCCTGCCCTTCCCAGCCCACCTTGGGTGGGGAGAGTTAAGGGAAGACGCTTCTGGGGAAAAAGCTTCACTTATTTATTTATTTTTTCCTTTTTAAAACATAAATCACAACTTGTAGGGAAGCCAGAAAATAGGAAAATGAGCTAGCAATAATTTTTAAATTAAAATTATCCACAACCTCCATCCAGAGCTAATAACTGTTAATAATGTTTTCAGATAGATATTTCTAGTATTTTTCCATAAAATAAACCCACACACAGATATTACCCCTGCCTCAGTGTTTGTTAAGTTCACGTGCTCAGGTTCAACATTTCCTTTTTGGTTTTTGGTTTATTTTATGAGATGGGTCTCGCTCTGTTGTCCAGGCTGACCTTGAACTCATGGGCTTGAGTAGTGGACCTCCCAGGCAGCTGGGACTACAGGCGTGAACCACCACATCCAGCTCTTTTTATTTTAAAAATTTTTGGAGGGATACAGTGTGATGTTTTGATACATGTATGTAATGTACAATGATCAAATCAGGGTGATTAGGGCTGGGGCGGGGCTCCATGGCAGAGCACTTGCCTAGCATGTGGGAGGCACTGGGTTCCATCCTCAGAACCACATAAAAATAAGTAAATAAAATTTAAGAAATCAGGGTGATTAGCATACCTATTACCTCAAACATTTATTATCTCCTTGTGCAAGGAACAAAGTTATCCCTTGGAGCTATTTTGAAATACAGGAGAGATTTCTAACCACGGTGAGTCGCCTACCACACTAGAGGACAGGGCGCTCTCTCCTCCCATCCACCCTGGGAAGGCTGCCGGCACGGCTCTGTGGTACACCAGTGCGGATTCAAACCTGTCTGGCTGGGGATCTTCATGACCAGCACCAAAACCCAACTCCAGGGATTTAAGCAGCAAAAGAGATTGTTTAGAGGTTCCTGGGACCCATGGACACATGCCAGGAGAGCCAGACATGACTCAGAAGCCACAAAGCTGGGAACCACAGCCAGCATCCTCCCCTGGCAGAGCCG